ATAATGGTAACTCCATTGAATGTCAGGGATGGTGGTTAGATTGTCTCTTGTTGGAGATGGTCATTGTCTAGCATTTGTATGGCGCAAGTGTTATTCTATGCACTTGTGCAAGTACTTACATGTATCATATGCTCTTCAGAGATACCTAGAAACCGATATTCATTTCAAGCCCAACAACTCCCACAGCTACCTAGAATACTCCTCCTCCCACCCCCCTTCCTGCAAAAATGCTATCCCCTATTCCCAATTCCTTCGCCTCCGCTGCATCTGCTCCCAGGATGAGGCATTCCACTCCCGTATATCTCAGTTGTCCTCGTTTTTCAAGGACCGTAACTTCCCCCCCTCAGTGGTCGAGAACGCCCTCGACCGTGTCTCCCACATCTCCCGCAACTCATCCCTCACACCCCGTCCACGCAATAAGAAACAAAAAAGAATCCCCCTCGTCCTCACGTACCACCCCACCAACCTCCGGATCCAACGCATCATCCTCCGACACTTCCGCCATCTGCAATCCGACCCCACCACCAAAGACATCTTTCCCTCCCCACCCTTATCTGCTTTCCGGAGGGACCACTCTCTCCGTGACTCCCTTGTCTGCTCCACACTCCCCTCCAGCCCCATCACACCCGGCACTTCTCCCTGCAACCGCAGGAAGTGCTACACCTGCCCCCATACCTCCTCCCTCACCCCCATCCGAGGCCCCAAGAAGACTTTCCACATCAAACAGATGTTCACCTGCACATCTGCCAATGTGGTACACTGCATCTGCTGTACCCGGTGTGGCTTCCTCTACATCGGGGAAACAAGCGGAGGCTCGGGGACCGCTTTGCAGAACACCTACGCTCATTTCGCAATAAACAACTGCACCTCCCAGTCACGAACCATTTCAACTCCCCCTCCCATTCCTCAGACAACATGTCCATCCTGGGCCTCCTGCAGTGCCACAACGATGCCACCCAAAGGTTGCAGGAACAGCAACTCCTATTCCGCTTGGGAACCCTGCAGCCCAATGGTATCAATGTGGATTTCACAAGCTTCAAAATCTCCCCTCCCCCTACCACATCCCAAAACCAGCCCAGCTCGTCCCTGTCTCCCTAACCTGTTCTTCCTCCCACCTATCCCCTCCTCCCACCTCAAGCCGCACCCCCATCTCCTACCGACTAACCTCATCCCGCCCCCTTGACCTGTCCGTCCTCCCTGGACTGATCTATCCCCTCCCTATCTCCCCACCTACACTCACCTTTACTGACTCCATCCCCGCCTCTTCGACCTGGTTGTTTCCTCTCCACCTATCCTCTCCTCTATCCATCTTCTATCCGCCTCCCTCTCTCTCCCTATTTATTTCAGAATCCCCTTCCCCTCCCCCTTTTCTGATGAAGGGTCTAGGCCCGAAACGTCAGCCTTTCTGCTCCTATGATGCTGCTTGGCCTGCTGTGTTCATCCAGCCCTGCACCTTGTTGTCTCATATGCTCTTCATTCATGTTTAGGCATTTGTCACCTGTGACTGCACCAATTACTTTAATCAGTTCTACCTCTTGACAAATTTGAGTTGCAAAGCATGAATGTACTCATTGCCTTAGTGTTTGAAGTTGTAGGCCACATAATTGGAGAGGGCCCAAAAGCTGGTGTATGGATCCTGGTGTAAAATTACTAGTGCCCATTCCTTCTAATTTAGGCAACATGGAAGTAACTCTGCGAGTAACAGTTTGCATAGAACCCTTGAAATCAAAAAGTACCATACCATTCCCTGATAACTTTAGAAACTTTAAAGAACTCTAGAAACCAGGAAATGTTTCTATAATCACAATAGCCAGTAGAAATTAACTAACAATTGGCCTGAAAGTAATTGATGATCCTTTGCAGTGTCACTTGTGAGGATTCTGCCTTGTGTCAACACATTTGATTTAATTTGATTTATTGTCATGTACATTTGCTAAAAAATAGAGTGAGAAGCATTGTTTCGGGTCGCTACTCTTAAAACAGGGAAAATAAACCAAAACACAGAATATAAAGCCAGAAAAATAAAACAATAAAATCCATCTTATAGTCTTATCTCAAATAAAGTTGGCTGGTCTTTGGAATAGCTCCCACTTCTAGCTCAGCCATGGGCCTGGATCCAGGCTGCTCCACCCTGATGCCTCAAGTCTCTGCTGCTAAACTGACTGCACTGGTACAACTGCGCTTCACCGCACCACTGCTGGAAGAAAGAGTTGCTACTCTCTGGCATCATTTTGCCTCTACCAATGCCACTGCCGCGATGGGTTCACACTGGGCCAACTTCACTGTTGCAGCCATCCCTGGTGCTGCAGGGTCCTGCACTGCAACCACACTTGCCACTGTTGCTGCCTCTGCCAAGAGGAGCCCGGGCCTAGCCGCAGACGTGGAGCCTCAGTTCAGCCTGTGAGTCTGGACCAGGCAATTAAGCCTGGGACCTGCTCTTCATTTGCCGGGGAACCTTGGGCTGGGTGGGGCCATGTTTGCCTTGCCCTGATGTTGCCGCTGCCACCACCGAGCATCTTCTCTGTCATCATTTACTCAATCTCGCCATTCCCCAGGGCCCATGCTGCCATCTTCGTCCGCCATTCCACAGAGACCCCACTCTTATCGATGCCGCTGCTGATGCCACTGCAACCGAGGAAAAAAGGGAGGAGAAAGAACTTTAAAGAGAAAAACAGGAAAAGTGAAAAGCAAAAGTAAAAAGGAAAATAAGAAAAAAGAAAAGAAAAGCAGACGGAAGTGCATAAGCCCTGGGCCCAATAGCCTGAACGCTGCTGATCTGCTGCAGTTATCTTGAAGGTTAAAAGGGGGCTGGGGGAGGTGGGTGCTCTTGTGACAAGTTAGTAGTGTCCCTACATCTAGCTAGCAAATTTCATATGCCACCTGTCATAGAGCTGTGACATTACATGTTCAAACACGTTGATTAAAAATGCTTAAAAGGAGGCATTAGCTGTAGAATTGGTGTCAACATTGGCACTGCTACAGTCAAATCAATATTACATGCTGATTGACATTACAATCTTCCTGAGATAGTAGGAACTGCCGATGCTGGAGAATCTGATGTAACAAGGTGTAGAACTGGATGAACACAGCAGGCCAAGCAGCATCAGAGGAGCAGGAAAGCTGACGTTTCGGGTCTAGACCCTTCTTCAGAAAATC